AACAGTTTAATTTTGTATGTGTCCTTCAAGTCTATGGGTTCACTAGGATTTACCAATGAATAATTTTATGAAGAATCTGGCATTAGAAAGTGGTTCTTTGTTGAAACTTGCAATTATATAATTTAAGAAAAGTATTATGCTTCTTTTTTCATATATTTGTTGGGTGATGTCAACAAATAAATGATTAGCAGATATACAGTAGTGGTCAAAATTGTGGAAACATTTTGGGGAAAGTGTATAGTATTTTTGAGGTTTCATGGCTAATAGTATCACTTTTTTTCTATTACCATAAAATTATATATCAATGGAAAGACAGTTTAATCAAGAATGTAATGCAATAACTTTTATGAAGGATCTGCTGTTAGAATAGCAGTTATAAAGAAGAAAAGTGAAACACAAAGAAAAAATTAAATATACAAAAATTATCACCATGTCAGGTAACCTTTAGCATAAATTATGGCTTTACAATATCTTCCCATGGAGTGAATCAAGTTCTGTAGCTGTTATAATGTGAAAACAAGATTGAATTATTGCTTCTATTAACTGGTTTTATTGCTAACCATATTTGGCTATTACTTTTCATAGAATACAGATAATTGAACAAAGTTTGTTACATTACATTTTTGATTAAATTATCTTCCCGTTGATTTTATGGTACTACTTTAAAAAGTAGTTTTATTAGCCATCAAAACTCAATAACACACTTTTTTCCAAATGGTTTCCACAATTTTGGCCACTACTGTACTTGTTGTGAAACTGAGTTATTTGATGCCAATCACATTATGTAATAGGATGCAATCACATGGGTTTATTCTTTGTCCTAATTAATCCCTCCTTATTATTCAGCTCAGGTCTCAGCAGGATAATATAAACTTTTGGAGAAAAGATACAGGCAAGCAATGCAGCCCCAGAAGCCAAAATAGAGAAGATCTCCACGGCTACCATGTACTTTCCTTTGGTGCTCAAATAAGTAGGGATAAAAGTCAACCAAACACTGCAAAACATGAGCATGCTGAAAGTGATGAACTTAGCTTCATTGAAAGCATCTGGCAGCTTTCTAGCCAGGAAAGCCACAATGAAACTGATGACGGACAGAAGTCCCATGTAGCCTAAGACAAAGTAAAACATGAAGGTAGAGCCTTCGTTGCACTCTGCTATTATCTCACTTGGAAGAGATTTCATGTCCAACCTGGGGTACGGAGGAGCAAAGGCAAGCCATACAGTACAAATGCCAGCTTGAATGAAAGTGCAGGAAAGGACAATGGTGTTGGCCAGCCTTTTTCCCATCCACCTCCTCACGTTGGATCCTGGTTTGGTGGCCATGAAAGCAAGGACCACAGTGATGGTTTTGGCCAACACACAAGATACCGCGACAGTAAAGATGATACCAAAAGCAACATGGCGAATGAAGCAAGTGACTTTGTTGGGGTGGCCAAGGAATAAGAAAGAACAGAGGAAGCAGAGGAGGAGAGAGGAAAGAAGAGTGTAAGTGAGTTCTCGGTTATTGGCTTTGACTATGGCAGTATCGCTGTGCTTAATAAAAGCAATAAACACCAAGACTGTGACGAGTGAAAAACAAAGGACTATTGAGACTAAACTCATTCCTAATGGCTCTTCATAGGAAAGGAATGTTACGACCTTGGGGAAGCAGCTGTCATTGCTCTGGCTTCTATATTGATCATCTTGGCACTGCATACATTCGTCCATGTCTAAAAAGAAAATTGCAAGAAAAAATTAAGAAAAGTAAGCATATCTATTAGAGCTTGACTAGATTGGAAGCCGAATCAATACAGTTCACTTGAACAAGATGGAGAATCCATCAAAGCACCATGTCTTTGTTTTCAAATACAAACCACCATCTGTGATCAAATACTAGACTGATTCTCAGAGAATAGGATAGGTAGGATAGGAAAGGATAGGATAGGACAGGATAGAATAGAATAGAGAATTAGAATGGAATGGTGTGGTATGGAGTGGATTATAGTGTAGTGTAGTGTAGTGTAGTGTAGTGTAGTGTAGTGTAGTGTAGTGNTCCGGCTCCTCATTTTACCCACCTCGGAAGGATGGAAGGCTGAGTCAACCTTGAGCCGGTGAGATTTGAACAGCCAAACTGCAGAACTGCAGTCAACTGAAATAGCCTGCAGTGCTGCATTTAACCACTGCGCCACCTCGGCTCTCTCAGGTATCATAAGATACCTATTCCGATTTGAACATCCCAGAAAATTGTTAGTGGCCTGAATATTTGATTGTCAACAAGTAAACATTTGGATGTGCCATAGTTCACCTAATTAAATGTCACCCAACATATTTAGAAAATATTTCTACTCTGTGTTTTGGAAACAGAGTTGAAGGCATTATTTTGCTCTAGATCTTATCAGTTCAGTCTGTATTGAAAGATAACACTGGCTTTAAAAAAACACCAATTGTTTCCAGTTCAAAATATTGTTGTTGTTCAGTTTGGCTGCACTGTATTTATTCTTGCGGGGAAAAAAATCTGCAAATATAATATATGCACAGTTGTTTCTGCTACCAGCAGGGAACAACAAGAGCTGTATTGCCCATTCTGCTTGTAATAAGATGCACGTAAATGGTAAATGGTTTTGGATGGAAAAGATTGCTCACACAGGCTGCAGCGCAAAGCAGCATAAAAGATTGGTTGGCATTCTTTGATTTTATTTCCCCCCCTTGATTAAAAAAAAAAGAGCAAGAAATACAAAAGAGAGAAAAAAGAAACGAAATCAAAGAAAACCCAACCAATCTCACACTGCTTTGCAACAAAAACACAGCAGGAATGTAACAGGATTCAATAAGTTATTCCAAATTAGTTTACGAATGAAGGCAAATATACGTGTCCAAAGATAATGTTGCAAGATCGAATCTGGATCAGCCAATTGGGACCAGAGATTTAGTCTTCCAAGCTTTTGGATTCATGCTGGATCCATCTTCAGAGAGATCTTCTCTCCGGAATATGTGCTTGGGCCTATCCTGTGAGTCATATTTATGTGGTGCCTTCCTATTGGCTGTTTTAAGTTTGTGTCGAACCAATGACGGAGGAATGTTTGCTTCAACGAACTCTTTATTAAATCAGAACACCAGTAACAGCTCAACAGAATAGAATAGAATAGAACAGAACAGAACAATTTATACTTGTAGCTGTCAGGCGGGGAACCAATAGGAAAGCTGTGATTTTCCCGCCGGCCGGCAGGGGCGCCAGAACCAATCAGGGCTTCTTCCTGATCCCTCTGCAGCCGCCGGTCGAATCTCCGAGGACATAACAGGCTGATTGATGTGTTGATGGCTGGCGATTACTGTTGTTTCTTCATGTTCCCAACCCTCAGCTCCTAAGTACTTGATAATCTAGGAGCCAAGGGCTTAGCAACAGAAGGAAACAACAGCCACCATCAACACATGGTGCGTACATCTCTGGCTGGAGTTAAAACTTCAGCCTGTATTTAACACATTTTGTCAGTTTTTTCCACGATGGTACACATTGGAGGCCCCCCCAAATATATCTTGGGACGTCACATATCAACTCCCCTCGCCTTCACCTCATATTAATTTTTCTGTTTAATAGGCAGACCTATTTCCTCCTAGTTAAGGCTACGGTTTTCCCAGTTGCAATGGATGGCTGTGAAAGTTGGACCGTAAGGAAGGCTGAGCGCCAAAGAATGGAAGCCTTTGAACTCTGGTGCTGGAGGAGACTCCTGCGAGTCCCTTGGGCTGCAAGGCGATCAAAACGGTCAGTCCTAGAGGAGATCAACCCTGACTGCTCTTTAGAAGGCCAGATCCTGAAGAGGAAACTCAAAT